CATTTCCACTTGGCCGTTACACTGACTGGTATATCAAATTCCACGTCCAAAATTAAACTCATCATCTCTCCTAAAGATGTCCCTCCTCCTAGCTTTGCTATTTTTCTTGATGGTTTCTATATTCTCTCAGGCATTCAGACCCAAACTTAACTTTGAGTTTTCTTTTTCTTTCTCTCTCTCTCTCTCTCTCTCTCTCTCTCTCTCTTCTCTCTCTCTCTCTCTCTCTCTCTCTCTCTTTAACAACACACAATCAATTGCGAAGTACTACCAACCACACCACTCCCTTGCTGAAGAATCTTCAGTGGCTCACTGATACCTGTAGGAAACAAACATAACCTACTCAGCTTGCCATTTTAATCCTTTTAGACTCTTCTGGATTTATTTTATAATGGGAATTTTCTATTCCAGGGACTCAGCATTTCCTTTCCAACCTATGTCTCCACAGGGTTTCCCCCATACCTGGGGGACCACTCTCTTTCCCTATTAGAATCCTCTAAGATTCATTTCGGGTGTCACCTCTCATATGGCTTTTCCTCATATCTTGTTAAGTGTTCTTTCTGCAAATTGTCTTGCATTTGCTTATTTATAAATGTTATTTCCTTCCAGCAGAATGTAAGATCCTCAAAGGAACAGACTTTTTCATTTTGTCTTTGTATTCCCAGGGCCTAGAAGAGTGTTGGTATACAGTAGGTGCTTAGTAAAGGCTTACTAAATTGAATTTAATTTCTTCCAGGTGATGTAGTGGATAATACAACTGGTCTTGCAAATGAAGTCCTTTCAGAGCTTAAGTTTCTTCCTCTGTAATGTGGAGACACTAATAATACCTATTTCACAGGGTTGCTGGGAGGCTAAAGGGAGATAATGTAGGTTAAATGTTTTGCAAATCTTAAAGAACTGTAGAAATATGAGTTATTATTATCTCCTCCTTTCTACTCACATTACCACCACCCTAGTTCAGGCCTTCCACTACTTCTTGTCTGGGCAGTAGCTTCCAAAGTATTCTCTGCCATTAGTCTCTCCTCTCTTTAATCTGTCCTCCACATAGCTTATTTTTAAGACACAAGCCTGACCATACCATTCCTCTGCTAAAAACTTTTCAATGGCTGCCTACTACCTCTAGGATGAAGCACAGACTCAACTAGCTTAACACTCAGTGCCTTCTGTAATTTGGCTCCAAATTCCCCTTTTGGTCCTAGTTCACATTACTTTCTTTCATACATCGGGATTCCACCTACTGGACTATTGTTATGTGCATTGGACCGACAATTTTTCACCTCTGCATTCCATGCAGGCTATCTCTAATGCCTGAAACACATGTTCGCCTTGTTAAAAACAAAAACAAAAACAAAAACACTTTCTTTTCTTCTAAGGCTAAGTTCAGGTGCCCCTTCTGTGAAGTCTTGCTAGATCTGATCCCCAGCCCTACTAAAACATTACCTGTCTCTTCAAATTGCATTGGAGATGACCATTGGCATTTATTTATTTTCAGGTTGTATTCTCCCTAGCAAGACTGAAAACTCTTTTGGTCATTCTAGCTGACCACTTAGAACAGCTCCTTCCACATAGTAAGCACATGCTATTTGTTGAATTGTGGGGCTACAACAATGAAGAGGAAGCAGTGGACTCTACCTTTAAGGAGCTTATATTTTCCAATCAAGTAATGCTGTCTCCTGGTCTTCGAAAAGCAAGGACTGTAAATCTCCATACATTATAGTGACCACCCACATTACACTGTTTCTTGAGCATGAGACTTCTAAATACTGCGTCACAGTGCTCTGCACATCACATAGGCATAATAAATGCTTGTTCAGCTGTGTTTTATTAACATTTATGGTATCCTTGTGGCCTCAAATTGTACTGTGCTAGGTGGTGCAATAGACAGAGTGATTGATTTGGAGTCAGGAAGACCTGAGTTCAAACTTGGCCTTAGACTACTTAGGCTATGTGATTCTGGGTATGTCACTTAACCTTTGCCTTAGTTTCTTTGTCTATAAAACGGAGCTAATTAATAGAGCCTACCTCCCAGGGTTGTTTTGAAGATAAAATGTGATAGAAGCATTACATAAATGCTATCATCATCATCATCATTATACTTCACTGACACAAATTGAACAGTTAGGTTAAAGTGCAAACTAGTAATGCAACAGCTAGCAATGCCATAAGGACTACTGTACAGTTATAATTGTTTTATATCTGGGTTTTTTTTAAATAATATACCAAAAGAACATATAATAAAGACCAGCTCTGTCAAGTGAGCTACTTTGAGAGATGCTCTATTTAACACCTTCCATTTACTAGACATTTAGTACCCTAGAATAGTAGTTCTCTTGCTTTTTGGTTATCAGCATTGCTTTATATTCTTAAAAATGGAAAACAAAGAGCTTTTTAAAACATGGGTTATATCTACCAATTTACCATATTAAAAAATGAAACTGGTAAAATTAAAAATATTTATTCATTTAAAATGTTTATCAACATTAACATATAATTAACATTACATGTTAATACATTTTTATGAAAAAATATCTTTTCCCAAAACAAAAAGATTTAGTGAAAATAATGTCATTATTTACATATTTTTGAAAATCTCTAACATCTGGCTTAATATAAGGTAACAGGATTTTCATGGGCAGCTAAGTAGCAGAGTAGATAGAGTGCTGGGCCTGGAGTCAGGAAGACATCTTCCTGAATTCAAATCTGGCCTCAAACACTTACTAGCTGTGTGATCCTGGGCATTGTCACTTAACCCTATTTGCCTCAGTTTCCTCATCTGCAAAATAAGCTAGAGAAGGAAATGGCAAACCACTTTAGTATCTTAGTTAAGAAAACCCCAAATGTGGTCACAGATAGTTGGACATGACTAGAAAAGACTGAAAAGGATTCTCATCTTCTTAGGCATTCAATCAGTTGTGATATATTGTTTGGGTTGAAGTCTATGAGAAAATCTGGCATCACACAGATAGTTGGAAAAGAAAATATGGTCTTTGAATAGGTAAATAATGGCTTAGTATTAATATGAATAGTGTTGACATTGAGGACCCCACTGAAAGGGTCTTTGAGACACTTAAGGGTCTACAGACCACATTTTGGACTAAAGGAGGTCTTCCATGTTATCCTATGCTTGCATACCAGTAGAGGTGGTCACTTCTTTTCCTCTGCAACAAAGAAAATCTGAAAAAGACCAACTTCACTAAGACAGATGATTGACTTTAATGGAGCTACAAAGTTGGCAGCAGTGTAGACAGGGGCAATTTTCTGTCAGCTTACCTAGGAAGCTTTCTATAAAGGTTCACTGGTGCTGGTCATTTTGGTCTATGCTTTGTGTAGCTTTCAGCTCCCCAATGTATCAGGACATATCTTGTGTTTACCCAATGGAAGAAAAACACATCCTATTCCCCTGATAGTCTTCCTATAAAACTATAAAACTAATTTTTTCTTTACATCCTGCTAAGATAGCATTCAGTAGTAGTAACAAGAATACTGTTCACATGTCTTTAATACTATAAAAATGATAGAGGCACCAACTCATACTAAGTGTCAAGTACCTGGAATTAAAAAAAAAACTGATTGGAAAGTTATAAGAAGCTACTAAAAATTTTTTTTAAAAAAAAAGTTTAGAATTTGTGTGCAGGGATGAGAGCAGGATTGAAGTAGCTTTCTTGGCTGAGATATGATATGCTCAAAGGAACCACCCTGAGAAACTGGAGTTAAGATAAAAAAAAAACACCCCACAAATTGGAGGCTAATTCCCTGCTTCTATCCCTTCCTGGAGTGTACTGAAATAGGAAAGAGACCAGGGCCACCATATAAGCAATGGTGGATGCCGTAAGTACTATGAGGCTACCTAGTATAAAAGTGATGATATGGATGTGAGGCCAAATTGATAACGACATTAGCAACTCTACATTGAATTCCAAGAGCTGGCCAACAAGAAACTCCCTTAAACCGCCAGCCCTAGTTCCTAAAAGTGTTTCCAGACATTCAGAGAACTGACAATCTTTCACCTTTTTCATGAATACACAAAAAGCTACAAAGTAACTATGTGGCATCAAGATATTTTCTTCACAAATAAGAGGCTGGTAAAATAGAATAGTAGATGTTTCCATCTATAAGTCTATAAGTCAGGATTACCTGAGTTCAAGTCCCAACTTTGACACGTAATGGTTTATGTCACTCTGAGCGAGTCACGCAATCTCTCAGTGCAGAGGCAGGTCTTGAAGAGTAGAAATTGCTGATTTGTGTTGTTAAAGGGAATCTCCAAGCTGGGAGTTCCTTAGAATATTGATGAAATCAAAGATCCAGATCACTGCCCCCTCCTTGCTTAAAGGGATATAATTCTATAATCTAATCCTCATTATCAAAGGTGAATCACTCATGGGAACCAGAAGCAGTCTCTGGTGTATAACCTCTTCCCATACCATCAGCTCCTGGGGACCTTTGTTTCTTCAAGTCAGTATGGATTCTTTTGGTTTAGGGAAAAGTTTACTTTTGGAGCTTCATGTAGTTCATGATAATAGGAGCTTAAAGGTGGAAAACGATACAAAAATGCAGCCAACACAGATGGGTTTTTTTGATACTCCATAATTTTGTCATTCCAGAACATTTATTGCTAAGTATTTTGTCAAAATTCAAATGCATTTAAAAAAATAACATGTAACAGAGTTCTTTTTAATACAGTAGAATGCTAAGATGACAACAAATAGACATAAACGCTAATGCATCATAAAAATTGTCTGTTTTTCCCCGCTCCATTCCTTTCCAACAGTAGCAAGAGCAACCTTCATAATTTTTTTTTTTTACATCAAAGGCTGTGGTTCTTAAGGAGGGCATGTGTGGGCTCTCTAGCCTACATGGCAAATCTCTGGCACCTGAAAAGCCGGAGTGTGGCTGGTAGCAGCAACCCATTGCCAGCAATGGGGATGAGTGGGAGGAAAAAATCACCTCCAGACATCAAGGTGCTAACAAATGCTCACCAGTACGACAAAGCAAGTGAGCTTCCATCATTTTAAACCAGTAGCTTTATTAAAATACTCTTTGATACACAATTTTAGGAGCCATTTTCTGAGCACTTAATTGAAAGTAAATGATCTATGCAAAAATTGACAGTTATTTCACACCTTTTCCAAACCACAAATCTGAGGGCTTCACATTCTCTGTTTTAAAAGCTGAGAATTTTCTTTATCTCATCCACAAGATAAGTCCCAGAATTTACATGGTATTAAGTGAGATGAGATGGGAAGAGAAGATTCAACTCTTCCTTTCGGCTGTCCTAAAGTCTGGCTTTAGGTTTGTACTGGAAATTTAATTTCTAGTTTACTTCTAGATTGCTTTTAAAGATGTAGAGGACAGTAGTGAATGCACTCAGGAACCAAAGAGGATAGAGTTGGAAGACAGACTGTTATACTGCACTGCAGTTAAAAAAAAAAAACCCAGACAGGATAAATTAAGAAAAGTTCTGGTGAAATGCATATAGACAAGGAGAAAAAAATATCTGGAAGTATTAAAGAGACATTCTTCTCACTTAACTCATTTAAAAGGTTACAATTACCATAGACATTTTAGCTATACTAAAGATAATTGACAAAAGTAAATTGTAAATTCTCTTCATAAAAGGGCTGTATTTTTATGTAGTCTGGTAAGAAACCTATATGCTAGATGAAAGGAAATCACTGCTCCCAATGATGCATGGAGTAGCTTTCAGGGTTGCATAGGAATTTTGCTTCAAATTTGTGTAAGGCTTATTAGTGTGGGAAAGAATCAATTTTGTAACCTTGCATAGGCAATTCCCTATATTTTACTTTGTATAAAACGTATTATGGAAACATGAGCATTTTCCCCTTCTCACCTATCACTTCAGTAAGCAGCTAATTTAACCCTTTCAGTATCCTGACAGACACAAAGAAACACGAAAATGGCAATTAGGATGAACCCACAATACATATTATACAGCACAGTAGAACAAATAAAAACACTTTCACGAAGCATGAACCTAGTGTTTCGTATAGAAAAATCAATACAAGAGAAAATTTTGTTTAGAAACATTAAAATCCATGTGAATAGAAACATATTTTTGGTAATAACCAACTGAATCCTGACAGATGAAATCCTGCCAGGTAATCAGACCAGATAACCCATTTGGATTTTTCATGTGTAGGTATATCTTGAAAAACATACATTACCCCCTGAACAGTAATGCATATATAAAATGTAGTCCATGAAAATTCTTTTTCAATACATGTACAGTAAACCTTTAAAATCTAAACTTCTTAAAATACACTGGTTATTAATTGGGTTAGCCTTAGAATAATTTCTCTACACACCAATCAAAATAAAGCTCTTCAATCAGAATATGGAAGAGGGTTCGATGATTGTCCCAAGTACAAATGTCAATCAATTTATTTATTCATTTGGTATCACAAGAATAATGTCACTGATATAGAACAGCCAACATTGGTTAAGAAAATAAATGGCTTGGTTTTCTTGATGTTTAGTTCCAATGAATGTCTAGTGTTTGACTCTGCATTTATTTAGGAGTGGGACACCATTTTCCCATGATAGTATTCTATTCCATTGACATTACTGCCTAATCAGAGAAGTCACCTGGCATTTCCTTTGCTGTTTTGTTCAGGGGAACTAACACAAGATCATTTGTATTGGTTATCACTCTTGCATATCACAGTGAGTTGTGTGTTTAATGTCATTTACAATGTGTTGTCACTGTGGAGGGTTAAGCTGAAGTAGCCCTGCTATTAGAAATAGTCTTGTATGAGAGAGCTACATATAGAGATTTGGTGTGTGCTCACTTTTTATGGAAAAGCTTAAAAAGCAAAGCTAAAACTGGCACACTATACATTAGATACAAGAGTTCAAATAACAGAAACAGATAAAAATACCTAACAGGTTTCCTTTAGAAAGGAGGTTAATTACAACAATATAGTTTCACTTTTTTTTAATATTTCCCTCCCACAAAAAGCATTAAAATGAGTAAAACTCATTTTACTAGTATTATACTCAAACAATTCTATTTTTTTTAAACACATCAATCTCTGAAATGTAGGAAATCTGTGATAAATGAGACAAACTCCATTGCTTACAAAAAGAAAAAGTTTGCAACTTTACTATTTTTGAAAGACAGTCCCTAAAAATACAGTGTTTCCTGTACTCACAGTTCCAGATTAGTAACATTATAAATTAAAGGTGAAAGTTATCCATATATAAACAAGGCCTCTTTCCATTGATTCTAATCTTATCTAAACCTTTGGATAGTTTAAACTTCAGATTTTACAAGGTAAGCTTGTGTTTATCAAGTAAAAAGAGAATGTTCAAGTCCATGATGCACTGGAGAAAATGCATCAAATATTTACAGGACAGCTACAATACTGGTTTTTGTTATTCTTCCTCCCTCCTCTCAAATGTATAGCCCATCATTTTTTTTTCAGTTCCTCTGGCTATAAAACTGTAAAGCAATATCAGGCTTTTTCCACTTATTTGTTTCTAAACCCTGAAATTAGATGCCAGGACGTGGCTTTTTGGGAGGTGGAGGAGGCATGAGCTCTGCGTCTGGGTCCAAATGATGCTTCCGTGCTTGTCCTTGAGAAGCTGTCATGCATCTGTCAATGAATTCAAAGAGGATCTCCTTGGTGACTGGGTTTGAAATGCTGTTACATACAGCTAGGGACAAAAAGAAAAGAATAACAGCTCATTTTAGGGCTAATAAAGCCAATTCTGCATAATGGAATGTTAGTGGTAAAGAGTAACACAAAGGGCCGGGGAACTTATATTTCAGAAGACATGGACAACACATTCCAATTGTTTCCCCATCTTCCTTGTTACCTTGTTTTAGTAAGTTTTGTTGCACTGAAATGAAGTGATGCAAACAATTCTTAATTTGAAGATTAATATTAAATTGAAAAATTACCACTCTCTTGTTTGTGCTCAGGAGTAACCATTCATTCATCTGACAAACACTTACTAGGTGCTAGGTGACAATCTCATAGAAAGTACTTTGGATACTGTATGGGACATAGAAATGTCATTGAAAATACAGGACAACAGGCATAATAAGACAGAATTAGTGGAGTTGTGAAACTGTCCAATCATTCTGGATAGTAATTTGGAATTAAGCTTTTTTTTTTCTTGCTAAGCAATGGGGTTAAGTGATTTGCCCAGGGTCACACAGCTAGTAAGTGTTAAGTGTCTGAGGACGGATTTGAACTCAGGTCCTCATGACTCCAAGGCTAGAGCTCTATCCACTGCACCACCTAGCTGCCCCTGGAATTAAGCTTTTTTAAAAAGTAACTAAAACATCCATATTCTTTGACTCAGAGATACCATTATTAGGCATGTACTCCAAGGAAGTCAATATACACCAAAATATGTATAACACTTTTTTGTGATAGCAAAGAACTAGTGAAGAGGAGATGCTTATCAGTTGGGAAATAGTTAAATTATAGAATATTAATTTAGTAGTGGTGGTGGTGGTGGTGGTAGTAGTAGTACTAGCAGTAGCAGCAGTAGTAGCAGTAACAGTACTGGCTGCTAACATTTACACAGCACTTACTATGTGCCAGACACTGGAATATCATAGAAAAAGATTAATACGAAGAATTCAGTGAAGCATGAAAAGACTCATACTACTGATACAGAGTGAAATAAGCGAACCAGAAAAACAATACACACAATGACAACAATGCAAATGTAAAGAACAATAAAACAAAACTGAATGCTGTATGATTATGATAAATAGGTCTGGCCCCAGAGAAGAGTTAAGAAAAATGGATTCTTCTCCCTTCTTTTCAGAGGAGAGGGTCGGACAATTCATGTGAAATATACCATATACTGTCACACACAACTGATGTGTTCATTGGTTTTCCTAAACTGCTTGTTTTTTGCTTTTAAAAATCTTAGTTAAAAAGGATGACTTGCTGGGTGGGAGGCAGGGATATATTTGGAAAAGAATGTGTTACAACAACAAAAGGCTTCAATAATTTTGTTTTAAAATAAAACAGAATTACAATGCAAATTACTGTTAGGTTGCTCAGTGGAAAGAGTGCAGGGTTTGGAGTCAGAAAGACCTGAGTTCAAATCCTATTTCAGACACATATTACCTGTGTGACCCTGGGCAAGTCTCTTAACTTCTGTTTGCCTTAATCCCCTGAAGAGGGAAATGGCAAATCACTCCAATATCTCTGCCATCAAAATCCCATGGGCAGTATTTTGCGTGCTTGGGTACATGGGGTCACAAAGAATAGGATGTGACTGAATAATAACAAACTATTTTACATAAAGGGGTACACTGAAGAAGTACAAAGAATCAAATGATTATAGATCTAGAGCTGAAAGGGACCTCAGAGGAAACTAGGCCAAGGGACTTACCCATGGCTACAAAAGTAATAAAAATCAGCACAGTTGCTCTCTATGGTGAGCTACCCTCCCCTAAACACACTCACAGACACACACACACACACACAGACACAAACAGACACACACACACACATACACACACCCTATTTGGTTGTTTGTGACATCTAGCCATATAGATTATAATCACTTTAATAATCCTATTGAATAAACTAAAAACTAAATTGCTAAAGGAATAAACATTTCTTTCTTGGTATACAAATTCGGCAGTACTGCTCTTAATTTTTAAAAGAAATTTATAGATCCAACCATTTTGGAGAGCAATTTGGAATGCCCAAAGGGTTATAAAATTGCATATACCCTTTGACCCAGCAATAGCACTTCTAGGGCTATATCCTAAAGTGATCATACAAATTGGAAAAGGACTCATATGTACAAAAATATTCACAGCAGCTCTTTTTTGTGGTGGCAAAGAATTGGAAATTGAGAGGATGCCCATCAATTGGGGAATGGCTGAGCAAGTTGTGGTATATGAATGTAATGAAATACCATCTGCTATAAGAAATGATGAACAGGCTTACTTCAGAAAAACCTGGAAAGACTTACATGGTCTGATGCTAAGTGAAGTGAGCAGAACCAAGAGAACATTGTACACAATAACAGCCACGTTGCACGATGACTAATACTGATAAACTTAACACTTCCCAGCAATACAAGGATCTAAGAAGACATCTCCAAAGGCCTCATGACAGAAAATGCTATCCACATCCAAAGAAAGAACTATGGAATTTGAACTGCTATTTTTTTTCTCTTCTGTTGAGTTTTGTTTCCTCTTTCTGGTGGTTCCTCCTATTTGTTCTAATTTTTACTTACAACATCACTAATGTGAAAACATGTTTAATAGGAATGTATATGTATAGCCTGTATCAGATTGTGTGCCATCATGGGGAGGGTGGTGGGGAGGAAGAGGGAGAAAAATTTTAAAATCAAAAGCATATGGAAGTGATTGTTGACAAATCAAAATAAATTAATAAAAAAAAGATAAAAAAGAAATTTATGATTTTAGTTTTGGAAAGACTATAAAACTATGATATACATTACATAAACTAGCATTCACATTTCCCTCTTCAAAATAAGAAAGCAGCTGGCTTAATATATCCCTATTTTCCAACTCAACTCTGATCCTAGCCAGAGATCACATCAACTAAGTTCTAATAGTAATACTTTAGAAAAAGTTCATCTTTTTAATACATGGATTTAATTCAACAAGTATTTTTAAGTACAAGTAGGTATTAATAAGAATTTATAATATGTACAAGGCACTATTCCAGGGGTGGGGAACCTGCGGCCTCAAGTGTGGCCCTTTAAGTCTAAACTTTACAGAACAAATCCCCTTAATAAAAGGGGATTTTATTTACTGTGTAAAACTTGGACTCAGTCAAAAAGCCACCCCCAGGGATCTAGAAAGCTACATGTGGCCTGAAGGCCACAGGCTCCCCACCCCCCTGCACTATTGTAAGCTGTGAGACAGAGAGAAAAAAATAGAAAAAGCCCTTATCCTCAAGAAGCTTACATTCTCTTTTACAGCAAATGTAGTCATTTATAATGCAACTATCCAGTTATCCTTTTAAGTGGTCTGATTTTGACTAATCTTAAATAGTTTATTTTTAAAAGGGAAACATTTGTTAATAATTAGTTTTTTATGCCCCCTCCCCCCTAATTCTGCCTTATTTTGGTATTTTGGAAGGAAGGCGTCTCCCTTGCACAAATGGAAATATTGCTCTCTAGGAAGAGTCAAGTCTCATATAGGACTTCTACGGAGCACCAGTTCATTCAAGTGAAAAGATTTTCCCCAGTAACCTTGGGAATAGGAGGAAGGGAAGGGGTTATTTAGTGTCCTGGGCTCTCCAATATGGCTCCCTGTTTCCTGAAGGCATTTATTTATTTCTCAAGGAATACTTTGTTTCCCAAAGACATAAGAAACCCTCTTTTTTTGCTGTATCAGTCTTAATGTAGCATAATATAAAGTCATTTTTTAAAAACAGTAAATGTACTTTAGATTCATTGACACTGGACAGTGACATCAGCAGTTCAATGGGTGAAAATGAGTAAAAACATTCTTTTCGCAACTTTGACTTACTAAAGCATCTTTTAAAAAGACAGACAGAATAGTATATTATCTGGTTCTACAAACCATATAAGCTACTTTGCTCACTTTTCCTCACAAGCTAATTATAATCACCATCATCATCACCTTCATCATCTTTCATTGTGGGCCTATAACTCAACAAAATGGTTGCCAGATGAGGATGGAAAGTTAACACTTTTAAATTAAGTTGAAAATAACAACTCTTAGGAACAGAAATTTACTTTATAAACTTCAATTAATCCCTGTCTGTCCATTTAAAAGACATACAGTTTTCTGAATTCCAAAAACAATCCAGTTTTATCTGAAGAATTTAAAGCCCTAACAATAGTAAAAGGACGGCATTTTTTATGGCTTTCATTTACTTTGTTCTCCATTGTTTGTAAAACTATTTTAGGAGCTTGAAATTACATTTTCCCCTACTAATTTTGTCCTTTTCCATCTGGCAAACAATAATTTTTGCTGTTTTGAATAGAGCTGAAATTACCATGGCTTTTTTTGTTCAACAAATTCAACTTGTATAGTTTGTTATCCTGCCAAAGCATCTTTCCTTGGTGCATCAGCTCAAGTTAATGTAGTCCTGGGAAGGATGAGGACAAATTACAATAAAGGCTAAACAGGTCTATAGTGAGATGTCCCCAGTCAAATCAGGCATTAAATCTGATAATCTCTCAGTCCTAATAAATACGGACAAAGAAACAGTTACATTCTTGGTTCTCAAACCATAACTATGTTCTTCTCAATAAGCTAACAGCGGTCAGAAGGTTACCATACTTTACTTACCCATGGCAGTGTTATAAGCATTTGGAAAGCTTTTGTCTGTTCTCTGTCTCATGAAGACCCAGCTGTTGTTCTCAAATTTGCATTCTATAATTTTATTGTCATATTGTTTTAGTTCTTTTGTCACCTGGTTTAAAAAGAGAATTGAGAGAAATGTTTTAAATCACTTGAAAACCTTTGTGCCTTCAGTGTGACAGACATATTATGAAATGCCAAAAACACCTCAGTAATCTATGCCTAGTTCTCTGTCATCATAAATGTCTAATCAAGCTTAGTGATGTGGTATGCGCACCCTCCTTGTACATATGCTCATCTACCCGACGTTTTATAAATAGTTTTGAAATCTGCTGTCAATATATAGCAATTATACCACCAAGCAAAAACCAGCCACTTCTGGTTTGCCAAATGCAAATATGTTACCATGGGGACAAACCCTTTCCATTGTGTCTTCGTCACTGGTAGTTTAAGAAAGGAAGACACTTTCTGACTTTCAACACCTTTTAGAAAGGTCTCCACCCTCAAAGTCACATTTCAAAGACTAAGGAATTCCCTTTTCCAATTAAAAAAAAAAAAGAAAAACTTGCCAAAGAAATAATGAATGTGGTTCTTAATCTTTTGCCTAAAAGACAATTAACCAAGAAGCTATTTCCTAAGCTGACCATTCCATTTAAGAATCTGCATTAATTTTTAAATTAAGCTAACTTTAATTTTGCTACCATTTTGGCTTTCCATCATAGATGATTTACTATGGATCACATCATGTACTATATGAAAGTCACCAAGTATCCATGGAGACTTATGAACCTTTTAAAAGATATTTCACTGAACTCCTAGGAAGCTTCTCATAAACAGAAACCTGAGCTTACTTCTCAATTTTCAAATCGAATGCCACTCGTGGTAATATTTTAATTCTATTTTTATCTTGCATGGGTAACACTTTTCCCTCACAATTTGGTAGACTGAAATCATTTAGCATTATAAACATTCTTTGAAATGTTCTCATCTCTGTGCCTATAGCAATTCAGGGCTTTAATTAACACCTAGGAATATGTAAGGCAGAAACTTTTTAAAGACTCTCAATCCATGGATTTATTAATTGCATATGTACATGAAAACCCTATAATTTAGTTTCCCTTTAAGAAAGGTCATATTGGATTGACTCACATTCTCATTTACTTCAAAGAGAAAACAAAGATTAGAGTTTGTCAGCTAAGTCAAGCATTTCTCTTCTACCCACTCAATAAATCCATTCTTTGATATATTTATCCTTCTATTTACTTTGCAATTTACTATTTCTTTAGATTAAACAATGAGTATAAGGCAACATAGGAACATGAATTCATTTTTTTCCAGAAATCTACATTAATGGGACCATAGAATTTAAAGACAGAAAAATTCTTAGATGAGGAAACTAAGGCCAAAAAGCTTTTGTCCCAAAGATTCACCCCAAACCATAAAGACAGTAGGGGGATGCAAGATTTGGACCCCAGACCTTTGGAGTCCAGATGAAAACTATTATACCAGGCTGAGAAAATGAGGCAAAAATTTTCATTTGTGTGTCTTTCTAAAGACATCACAAATATTTTTCAGTAAAAGCAAAAAAAAAAAAACTTGGAAAGGTAGGATGCTTTCATAAGAGATCAAGAGAATTATATCATATGCTTTTTACAAAAATCAATAGCTAGTGAAAAAGATATCTACTTCTTTTGTACTTTTACTATCAATCTCTACAAGTTTTTATCATATAGTTTATCGCTCTTGTGTTCCCAGTCTCAGAATAGCTATAAATTATGTGTTGCTCTATCTGACTGCTGCAATTAAGCAGCATTATTAACTCTCTATGTACTCACTTGGCCATGCATTAGCAATCTAGGAGACAGAGCTTTCCAGAATGCAAACACCTGCCACTACACTGACCCAGATACATTTTTATGTCCAATAAGAGCAGATTATTCCCTTTCATAGATCCTAATTAATGCTCATTATTCTTACCAGAAGGCAATCCAGTGGGGTATGATACCCACTGAGTTAGGCAGTTTAAATGACCTTAACAGATGAAATAATATTCCTCATTTGATAGAAACTGAGGAAAGTTTACAAGGACCAAATTAAGAAAATGGTGAGTATCACAGTATAAACTTAATTTTAGTTTCAAAACACTCTCTTGTTTGTCACTGTAATTACTTTGAGCTGTTTCATCATGATGTCGATAAATGTAAGGTGAGGAAAGTGATATAAATATTATAATCAAAAAAGGAAATACACAAATATATCAATAAGAACAACCACCACCATGATATTTGCTCTTCTCTAATTCTTGGGACTATATGAAGACATAATGTAACCACAGGCAGCAAAACTTTTCTATTACTCTACTAATTTAAACTCTAATCTAGGCAGGGGCTGGGACCACATTTCCTTGTGTTAAACCTGATATGTTTAAATTACTTGAGAACAAAGTTCCCAAAATACCATAGATCACAAATCAAAGCTTTGGAAGCAAACTTAGAGCCACTTTGAGTGTAATCCATGTAATCAAAAACATTTCCTACAACAAGAGATACTGCTTTTTCTGTTCCTGTACTATTTAGCTTTTATTAAAACTTCTCATGCCCACTATTCAATACGAAAGGAAATAAATTCTATAGTTTACAAACATGTGCATATAAAAATAAAATTAATGGATTCATTTTCCATAAAGAAAAATTTATTTCTTAAATACCATTTTTAGTATCATAAAAATGTTAAATGTTTATCAGAATATAGCCAAATAAATTAGTGAGACCCTTGATTTAATTTTTGTCAAACTGTTTTATTCTCAATATAGTTTTTTGAAAGAGATACCTTATATATCATTTTCAGCTTCCAGCTTGTTTCTTGCTTTGGATTTAAGAATAGGACTGAGATTTCTGATTCAGAGATAATTCATTAGAAGTAGAATTAGAAGCTTGGGAACATGTTTAAGGGACAGCTAGGTGGTGCAGTGGATAGAGCACCGGGCCTGGAGTCAGGATGACTCGTCTTTCTGAGTTCAAATCTGGCTTCAGACACTCACTAGCTTTGTGACCCTGGGCAAGTCACTTAATCCTGTTTACCTCCATTTCCTAATCTGTAAAATGGACTGGAGAAGGAAATGGCAAACCACTCCAATATCTATGCCAAGAAAACCCTAAATAGGGGTCACAAAGAATTGGACATGACTGAACAACAATGAACATTTTTAGTGAGATATGCTTCTGAAAGTATCCCCCAAAATTTTACAACCCCAGTCCACAATTATTTTTCACTAATAGTTCAACTTAATAGTATAGTTATTTAGTAACTATTTTTCACATCCACTAAACAAGCTTCTCATACTCCTTCCAGGGTATGTATAATTCTTGTTCTACAACATTTCCTAAAAGCTGTCTTTACACCCTTCAGTGAGGGAGAACACACTACACTTCTAGTAAGTCACCTGGCAAAGTAATGTACCGGACACTGAGGTCCCTTCTGGAGCTAAATTGCCAAGCATTCAAACTTTACTACAGAGAGCACAACTCTGATGGGTTGGCCACGTTATATTGGTCTGATCAGCCACAGTCAGATACACTGTACTTTGACTCCAACATAGTGATTTCATTTTGGTCCTCTTCAGGAACAAAGGACAACAACCTACCATTCCACTGTTATGTAGCTCTACTTGTAAGAAGTTTTTCTTTATATTAAGCTTAAATGTGCCTCTTGCTACTTCCATCTGATGCTTCTAGATCAACCCTCTGAGGCCAACCAGAAAAAGTCAATTTCCTCTTCTACATGAGAGCTTTAAATACTTGAAGACAATGATAGAAACTCCACCTGTGGGCTTCTTTCCATCAGGCCACACATCCCCAATTCCTTTAGCTATCTTCCTATAGAATACTTATTCATATCACCATTTTCAGCTATTGTATTGATGATACCACTGAACTCCCACTTTGGGCCTGTGCTTTCCTGAATGACAGAAGTCTGCTATATCTAAATAGTTCAGATCCAACCATGCTTTTTCACATGGGACACTTTCCACTCTGCGTCCACAAATATACTCCAATCCCCCTCACCTCTTGCTTTCAGATCAATACTATTGTTACTTACAGAAAGGGCATATCAATTAAATGTAGAACTGTTCAATTCATCATCCTTATGAATTCTCAGACCAAATACCCTTTACAGGCCACCTCATCCCCTATCTGTGCTGTTTTCCTTCTATTAAAATGTAAGCTCCTTGATGGCAGGGACTGCCTTGCTTTTGTCTTTTTCAATTCTACCTATCCTGCCCCAAACTCTCTGCTGACCTCCAATCTCACATCTCCAACTGCTTTTCAGCCATTTCAAACATCTTATACTAAATATGTCCAAAACAGAACTCGTTATCTTTCCTCCAAACCCTCCTCCCCTCCTATCTTTTCTATGACTATAGAGAGCAACAACATCCGCCCACTCCCTCAGCATTGCAAGCCACAAATCATCCTAGACTCCTCACTATCTCTTACCCACTATATACAAACTGTTGCCAAAGCTTGTTGATTTCACTTTTGCAACATCTCTTGTATATGCCCCCTTCTCTCCTCTGACACTGCTACCACTCTGGTGCAGGATCTCATCACCTCACACCTGGAGTACTGCAAATGACTGCTGATGGGGTGCGCTTGCCTCAAGTATCTCCCTATTCCAATCTATTCTCCATTTATCCACTAAAGTCATTTTCCTAAAATGCATGTCTGATCATGTCACACACACACTGCCCCCCAACAAACTCTAATGGCTTCTTATTGTTTCCAGGAGCAAATACAAAACTCTCCATTTGGCATTCAAAGCCTCTCCTACCTGTGTCTGCTTCCTCTTCCTTCTTATTTACCAACACTTACTCTTCTATCTAGTGATACTTAACTCCTGGCTATTCCATTAACAAGACATTCCATCTCTCAGCTGCAGGCATTTTCTCTGGCAGTCCCCTATACCTGGAATACTTTCCCTCCTCCACCCTAACTACTGACCTCCTTTAAATCTCAACTAAAATCCCACCTTCTACAGGAAACTTTCCCCAACCTTCTTAATCCCATGCCTTCCCTCTGTTAATTATCTCCCATTTATCCTGTATGTAGCTTC